CGCTGTCGTCGACACGGGGCATTCTGCGCCATCGTGCGAGAACAAATCTCACAGTCCGGGTGTTTTGGACTGTGGGTCATGTAATGCATCGGGTCAATTGGTTTCTTCTGTCTGTTTGGAAGAACGCGATCATTGTCTTGATGCATTCGTGTGAGCGTCTCTGTCGGCATGTCGTGAACCTGCTTGAGCTATATCTGCTAGCCCCCCGCATTGAGGATAATACTGCGTCTGAGACGTAGGCGAGTCGGTGGGTGTGTCCACGTTAGGCTCGTCTTTGTTTGTCGGGAGGTTCTTCGACCGTGGTGGTCCGTGCTCCTCCTCCCTCTCCGACATGTGGTCTCTTGGGGCAGGTCCCTATGTGGGGCCGTAGCTCATCTGCAGTTGTTGACTGCTCCGTAGTTTTGCAGCGCCAACAAATGTCATTGCAGCGGGCGGATGAACGCTTGCGCTGACGACGTCGGGGTGCTGACGAAGTGCACAGACGTGGTGGCGGTATCAGTGTCAGGTCGTCGAGTGGTAATTCTGGAACTCTATTGTTGACTGGAATATTTTACCATTGCCCCCCCGGATCCTGAAGCAAGTATCCCAGCTCAGGATCCCAAAGCTGCCGAAAGCCATCAACCTCAATCAATTTCCCAACTGATAATAGAGATGGACAGTCTGGCAAGGCAAGGGCTGAACTGTGTAAGCCAACCTCGGGTAGCCGAATGTCGTAGTGCTCGTTGACAGTACGATCACCATTGGCGGTTTCCAGAATATGCTCTTCGCAAATAGATATGCGATCCGATTCGGTCTGCGTCAGTTCGTGTTTTCCCTGAATATGATGAGCAGAGCCACTGTCGAGAACCCAAGATCGTGTCAATGCAGCAGTCGAGCGCGGTGGGTCGACTTGCATGGTCGTTGTCTTCGTCTGGGCTGTCTTTGATGACTGCTTAACAGTGTCGTCATATTTTCGGATCGCAGTTGGTGTGGCCACCGACTCTTTATTGTGTCGGTAGTCGTATAGGTCATCATACCATAGCTGTGCCTCTTTTTGACATTCTCGTAGGGCGTCCGCACTTTGATCCCACCATCGTTGTGGTAACGGGTCTGGTACATTGACCATGTCACCCTCATTCGGCATCTCCTTCCATTTGTCAAATCTGGCCCTGCCAGATACGGTATGTAAGTAGTATTCCACGTTACGTGTGTCGAAGCGTATCCGACGACGTGTTTGGGTAGATGTCGCTGTGGCCTTGGTGTTGGCCATGAGGGTCTTGTCACGGATGACGCAACTGCGGTCGGAACGGCGTGAACGTCGAAAGTTGGCAGGAGAACGTGCTCTGGCGTGGGGGGAGCCACGGGACGAACCATGGCTCGGGGAACGTCTGCCACGTCCTTTGTCACTACCATATGATCTATCACGGCCGCGTGGACTACCGCGTCCGCCGCCGCGGTTGTCTCGTCCTCGGGAGGTAGATCTCGAAGATCTGTCGTATCGACTTCTCGATTGACTGCGAGAGTCTGGGGACCTCCTGGATGTTGAACGAGATCGGTCGTATTGGCGTCGGTTGTCACGTCCATGGCGTGAATCGCTTGCGTAGCGGAACCCCCCGCGTTGTGAAGAACGCCGGCTTCCTGATCCGCGGGATGGTGATTGGCCACGGCTATCCTGACTGGAGGTCCGTGGTCGACTCGGGCTTCGCTCGGGAGTCTTTGCGCCAGGTGTAAGATGAGCATATTTGCATTTGTCGCCTCTTGGGCACTTATTCTGTGCGAAATCTTTACACTGTGCGACGTGTGGAAAGTTGCACTTGCCGCCTCTGGTACATGTGTTGCGCTTGGCGAACTCGAAGCAAAATAGTTTCGATGTTGGCTTCCTGTGATTCGCAGGAGTTGACATGCTGCGGCGGGAGTTGCCACCAGCTGTCGATGCTCTGGAAGATTTGTTGTTCTTCCAATCCCTGGAATGTGTATGCAAAGCCTTGCACCGTTCACCATTGCGACACTTGCCTTTCTTCCAGGCAGCGCACGCATTGACTTGAGAACGTGTCTCATGTTCGCACCGTAACTTATTTTGATTATTCTCCAATTGTTTGAGCTCCAGCACGTCCAGGACGCGCTGTCGGAGCCAATCATAGGTACGATTCGGGCCGCTGATCTTCATGCGCTGGTACTCGTACATGTCTTGTTTCATCCAGGCATGTCTCCGAATCTGTGTACGAAACAGAGATCCCAAGATCTTTGGATCGGGTGCTTCTCGGCACTCCAAGAGTAAAGCGTCCCAGTCAGTAATAAAACGTTGCAAATCGTCATCTCTCATCCTCAGTTCTTTAAGGCGCTCAAAGTCGTGCAGGTCGTCATCAACCTCTGTCACTTTGTAGGACTGTAGGATGTGCCAGTAGATCTGGCGTCATTTGAGCATGCGTCCTGCTTTGTGCTCTCTGGTTTCGATGAGCCTGATTTGGTAGCGCAAGTCTGAGGACAAGATGTCGCTCAGAGCGGTAGCGGGTTTGCAATCGATGCTCTCAAAGTCTCCACTGTCTTGTAAGTCCTCGAATGTACATTCGGGCTGTTCAGCCACGCATAGGAAGGCATATGCTTTGGATGGTCGCCCTGAGGCGGCCCCAAAGTTCTTCCGCACCTTTTGCTGCCACTCGAGCAGCTGCGTGATCTTAGGCAAGACAGGGACTCGGACGGTGTCTGACTCCTTGATAGGAGTTGTAGTATGGACCGAAACCGCAGACAGTGGTTGCGAGGGTATCGGTACGCCGTCAGTAGTCGGTTCTGTGCGCACAGGAGACACATGGCGTGTCTGCGCAGAAGCTGCCGCGGAGGCTGCTCCTGGTGACGTGCGTCGTTGTTGTCCTGCAGAAGCTTGCGGTGCTTCGGCGGACGCTGCCGTCGGCCTGTGCAGGTCGGTTGCAGGTCGAAGGTGGAGATTGGTGTCGTTGGTGTGGTCGATCAGCTGATTCGTCCAGCTCGTCATGTCTTCTTGTATTTGGGCCACCTTTTGGCGTGTGTACTCATCAGTACCCCGAGAACGTTGCGAGTGCCGATCAAGTCGTTGCTCGTATGCTCGGAGACGGGCGCTTTGTGCCTCCAGCTCGCTTTCCAGACGTGCGAGGTGCCCCTCAACACGTACCTTCTCAGTATCTCTCTCACGAATAACCTGGGAGAGCTCCAACTGCGCGTGGTCCACCGCCTTCTCGACCTCCTGCAACCTGTCAGTGAGGCGGGCGAAATCGTAAACCGTAGGAGGAGAATCCAGCTGGCCAGTCTGGGCTCGTCCGACACGCAACTCTGCCAGGGCGTCCTGTACATCAGGAAAACGCCGCTCGATTTCAGAGATCCGGTTAGCGAGTGGCTGCACGACAGCGTTGGTCGCATCAAGCCTTCGAGTGATGACTCTCTCAGTACGCTGCAACATGTCGATCAGGTTCGACGAGTTAGTGTGTGCTTCGTTGCGAAGCGTCGCCGTAGTGTGGTCTAGGTAGGATCGAAGATCATTGATCTGAGACTGAACGTCACCAAGGTCGGTGGCCTCGGCTGGTGTTGGTCGGTTGCGGAGCTGGTCGTGGATCTCATCATGTAAAATCCTGACTGCTGAAACGCCTGTGTCGCGTACGAGCACAAGCTGTTGCTCCATCTGCGCGAGGTAGTTGCGCAGGTTCTCGACCATCGCCGTTCGTTCACCTGAGTGTGACACCTCACGATCAACCTGGTACTGCAGTTCACCTATGATGCGTCGATCTTCGGCGATCCTGGAATCAATGATCCCTAAGGCGCCGTCCAGATCGTGGCGTATGGCTGCAGTATCGGCGGCGTTCGTCTGAACGCTCTGCAGTAGTCCAGAGTATTGCCTGGGCACGAAGGTTTCAACCTGGTCTCTGAGCTTCGCTATTTCACCTGCGGCGGACGTTTCCGCCAGCTGGTCGTCTGAGACGGAGAGGTGGGGAGCGTCAGCTTCCCTGTGCCCCCTGTCGCGGGGAGCGCATGGCCTCTGAGTGGCAGCACGCGGGCTCGACCTACTCTCGCCGCATGGGCCTGGGGCCCCACGACGGTTGCGCGCGGACGAGCTGCGACTCGGACCATGTGTGTGTGGTGTTGTCTCATCCGATGATACCTTGGGGAACTGCGTCTGCGGCTGTGCCGCCACTGGTCTACTGAGTTCCTCGAAGGTGGATACGTGCTCCGCAACAGGAACGGTCGCAGGGCTGGGGTTACCGGCGCCTGAGGTCCATCGGCGGTTAGCGCGAAAGCGCCCTGGAGTATCAGGACCAGTGAGGCTTTCGCCTGACGCAGTTGGGATTGCTCCCGACTGAGGAGGAGATGGAGGATCGAAGGTAGGCGTGTGGAACTCCTTCCTTCCTGTTCCTACTCCTTCTCCTGTCCCCCCGCGGGCGGCGCTGCGGTGAAGTTCAGCAGCTAGCCGCGCCTCGGGTCCGTCGGAGCTGGGGGGGGTACCTGGGACACCAACACAGTCCGCACTAAGGCTCTCCAACTCATCACCGAGCCGTCGCGCCGTCGGAGAACTCGTACGCGAGGCCCCGATGGACCCCTTGCGGCGCATGCGCCGCTTGGATTCCATCGAGGCCGCGTGCGAGGTCGCGACGTGCGGTTCGATGAACGGTGAGCTTTAAAGGGCTGATAACCTGTGTATGGGGTTGAAGTACAAGGGTACAGAACCCCTGATCCGCTGGTAGAGGGAAGGAGGGATAGATGGATGTCTTTCCCTCCTGCACGATCAAAGGTCTGATCGATCTGTCCCAATACCTGAGCCCAAACGGCCAGGCGCAGGAGAGGTGAGGATAAGGAGTATATATGAGGGTATTACACGGGTTCTATTCACATGATGAGGGGGGATGATGGGGAGGGAGAGGAGGAGAAGGAGGAGGAGGAGGAGGAGGAGGAGGACGACGACGACGACGAGAACAAAAAAAAGAAATGTATGATCACAGGGGGGGGGATGTGAGTATGCTGGGGGGACGCCGACTTCGCATTCCATTCTCCCGCCTCGCCTGCCGCGGCTGCGCCGCCAGGACCGCCGAGGCAGCGGCTCAGGCGCCCCCGAAGATCCGAGGCAGCCACCCCTGGCCGGCGAGGCCGTCGGGCCTCCGGGCGCGCGCCTCGGCCGCGTCGGCCGCGTCCAGCCGCCTTCAAACGGCGCGAAGATCGGGACAAAATCGGATCGGGATAACTCGAAATCTCTGAGAATCGGCGGGTTTGGAGGATGTATTGGGCGCCGCGGCCGCTCCAGAGCGTTCCGGAACGCTCTGAGAGCGCTCCGGAACGCTCTGGAGCGATTTATCCCGATCCTAGCCCGGTTTTACGCCTCCGCTTCTGGTCCACGACGGGCGGCGCGGCCAGGCCCCGCTTGCCCGCGGCGGGGGCGGGCGGCGGCAGCTCCTGCGCCGAGGGCGCCAGAGCACACGACCGCGGCGCACGGCCGGGGCCGGCGGGGGCGCGGAGGGCGGGAGCGCGACGGGTGCGGGGCGTCCCTCAGCGCCCCTCTAACGGGAACTCCACCAACGGGTACTTTGGCCAGTGACCCTGCGAACCTAACCCTCCCCGATGTGGGCAACGCTGCAATGCCACAAAGAGGCCCTGAAGTGGCATCTTTCGGCAATTTTCAAAAGTACCCGTTAGTGAGTACCCGTTACGGCGCCGCTGAGTCCCAGGAGGGCCCCCCCTCCCGGCCTCCTGGAAGCCGCCCCTGTTTTCGGAAAAGGGCTCAGAGACAGCTCCACGGGAGGCCAGAGGCGGTCTGAGCCTTCTGAGAAGGATTCCGCCCCCTCCTTGCCGTCGCTCGGACGTCCATTTCCAGTGCATGTTTCGGCTTCGTGCGTGTGTTTTTTTGCTCGATGGTCCAGGATGGTCTTCGATGGTTTTCGCAGAGAACAAATGCACGCGTCCGAGCGATGCCAAGCCCATGCCTTCCCTCCCTCGGCGCGCCGGCGACAGGAGCGTCCAGGGCCCTGGCCTGGTGTGTTCGCCCCCCTTGGCCGAAGCCGGGAAGGTCTGAACATCCTCATGGGACCCCGGGTGGCCACGGCAGGGCGCAGTGCCGGCCGTGAGTGGACAGGACACGCGAGAGGACACGAGACCCTTCCGAGGGCCACATTGCCATGGGGGATGTAGGAGGCATGTGTCGCGAGGCACAGGACACAAGGGTACTCCAGATTTCGTAATAACAGGGAGGGGTCTGGACCCTCCAAGACAAGCCATTTCAGACCCCCCCCCGTGGGAGAACCCTCCAAAACATCGTCCCCAGACCCCCCCAGGCCCTCCAAGATAGCCTGGAAGAGACCCCCCCCGAAATGAGACCCCCCTCCCTTTATTACGAAATCTGGAGTACCTAAGGGTACCCTTGACTTGGCAGGGTCGACCTACTAATCAGGGCCGACTGTGGTGGAGATAGTGGAGAGGCGGTTTCTGCGGGAGCTCCGTCGGGGCGTCCGCGGGAACCGACGCGGCCAGACCCTGGTCCAGGAAGTGCCCCCCTCTGCTTGTCTCCCACACGTACCTCGGCCAGCTCCCTCCCCCAAGCGATGCGCGCAGAGAGGAGATGCAAATGCGGGCGTAGGAGGCAGGGGGTGGCGGGGGCGCAGGGAGGCAAGTGCCTGAGATGCCCGGGAAGCCTCGGGGAGAGGACCCGCGACCGCGCAGAGGGCCTGGAGAGAGCTGGAGGTCCCTGTGGGACACGGTGCGTGGGCTTGCGTCCGAGACCTCCCGCTGGGGCCGTAATTGGAGCAACGCGCGAGGTGTGTGCCGACTCAGTCGGGGGGACGCATGCGAGCACCCTCCCTGGAGCAGTAGGTGGGGCTCCATGTCGGGCCACGACCATTGTGAGAAGTGTGCCGGAATACATAGGCGGGGAAGGCGCATGTGAATGCTCTCACTGGGCCCGTAGGTTGAGCTCACTGTGGGGCCGATTCCACGCGAGGGGTGTACCGAGATGGGCGGGAGGCGCATGTGAACGCCCTGGCTGGGGCCGTACGTGGAGCTCACTAATGTGCCACGATATGTGTGAGGAGTGCCAAAATGGAAAGGGGGGCGCATGTGAACGAACTCGCTGGGGCCGTAGGTGGAGTTCCCTCTGGGGCCACGATCCGCGTGAGAGGTGCGCCGAAACAGGTGGAAGCAACGCATGCCTCAAGCTGTGGCAGGCTGGCAGCGGCAGGAGCAGCAGTGGCAAAACAGCAGCATGCAGCACGCGGATGACCAGGATGATTATGACGACGAGAACGGCGATGATGACGTTGTTGATGATGAAGATGTTGATGATGTTGGTGATGCTGCTGCTGATGATGATGCTGATGATGGTGATGGTATGGTGGTGATGGCGATGACGATGACAATGACGATGGTGATGATGATGGTGGTGATGATGATGCTGATGGTTATGATGCTGATAATGGTTATGGTGGTGATGATGATGATGATGATGATGATGATGATGATGATGCTGATGGTGGCGATGATTATGGTGATGAGTAAGACCAGGGAGGAGGGGAACAGGAGGGAAGGAGAGGAGATGAGATGAGAGGAGAGGAGAGGAGAGGAGAGGAGGAAATGAGGAGACACTCGGCGCTGCGGATTCAGAACGAGGACGCAATAACTCAGGAGGGTTGGCGACATGGAAAACCACGACCATGACCCCCGACACCATTTCATGCAGGAATCATCGAAGCGGGGCGACTGTGCGTCTCCACAGCCTCGAAACAAAGCAGAAACACCCGTCGTGTTGTTTGTCGCCTCAGCCCCTGTATCTGGGGACACGGACCCCCGATCCAGAGGCACTTGGGAAGAGTGGCGCTTGCGCCCAGAGTACCACGCGGCGCCGTCGGTCGGCGGATGGTCGCTGTTCTGCTGGGGGCTGTCGGCGTATGCGACGCAGGAGTCTGTGTTTCGCAGGCCCTCTCGGTCGATAACCCAGCGTCCACTGGGTGGCCTAGGATGACGCAGACTTGTACACCTCCACCGATCGTGGCCAGACCTTGGGCCCAGGATCGGTGCTGGGTCCGAAGATCGGCGTGGCCAGGATGGGTGTGGGTGTAGCTAGCGAGCCCCGGGCGCCAGAAGCGAATCATGGCCCGGCCACCGACCTTCTGGTAGGCTGGCCGTCCCAGGTGGGTAGTCTGCAGCACGTAGTCGCCGTTGATATCGCTGTTCTCACTGGCGGGTAACCGCCCAGCTATCCGAACAGCCAACGGCGCAGTGGTGGCGCGGACCTTGAGGTCCCGATTGTGGCGCCCTGATAGGGTATCCCATACCTGCGGTGCCACAAGACCTCAGCGCCCCGTAGATGGGGACTTTGCCTGACCAGGGCATTGGCGCGCCGGAGAAAACTGCTGCCGTGGATCTTAGCATTCTCCATTGATCGTTCTCTCCAACTGGAAGTTGCACAGTCCCGGTTTACATGGTCCCTGGTTCAGGGCCCCCCACCCCCTCGAGACGAGGCGAAGGGGGGGGGCCCAGGACAGGGAGGCGTGCAGTCGATGTAGCAACGCGCTCGTGCATCCGGCGCGCCTGCCACTGGAGGTCGCAGAAGCCCGGGTGCTGGGTGCCGCACGCCTGCGAGTGGGCAGTGCAGCGCTCGCTTGCGGCAGACGTGTCGCCCGTCAGGATCCAGTGGTACAGCTTGCTCATCAGACTGGAGTTCGCTTCCATTGCCTTTTGCACTGCTACTGAGACTCCCCAGTGGATGCCAGTTCACACGCTCTGATCTGTCTGGCCAGGATGGAAGCCGCATCAACATCATCGCCGTTCAAAAAGCACGCATGCACGCAAGAAGCCGCACCTATACGGCACATCCCACAGGCGGCATGTCCTTGATACTCTGTTTCCCTCCCGATGCCCAATGCACAAAGGTGCTTTCTCAGAGGAACTGTTCCCAATCTGATCTTACACAATTCTGGCTCGGCGGCATACGTGAGCGCGGCGGCCTTGCTCCGCACGCTGACTGCACTGTGCGCAACCAGAGATGACAGCAGAAATGACCAAACGCATGCACGCGATGATCCGATCACCGGGCAAACGCTTTCCCAAAAAGAAAACAACAACCATGACACGCAACTCGCATCAATGACGCTGCCAACACGAACCGTTATCAACTGAACGCAAACTCTTCTCTCACGAACTCGTCTGTCACTCTCGGTGCACGCTTCGACATCTACCTTCTGAGGAGCAAACAAATCATGGAGGAAACCGAAACGCACGCCTCGGCTCGGCAAGGCCTTCGCAATCAATCAACCACCTGTCGGTCTTCCCGGAGTAGCGAATGACCGTCTGCGTGCCAGGCTGCACATACAGTGAGCGGCCCTCCCAAGCGCCAGCAAGGTAGTAAGTGCCACAGATACGTGCATTACCGCTCTCTGCGCTCCGCCCCATCACGTGAAGCATCCGAGGTGCGGTGAGCGTCCGCGTTGCCGGATCAGGGCTGAACTTGCCAACCTGCGGCTCCCAGAAGTGCCACTGCAGCTCAGGGAATCCTGGGTGCGGCATTCGCTTCGGGAGAAGATGGGGGCACACAAGATGCCTCCAGAGCTGCTGCCCAAACCCGAATGCCGCCACACACCGAAGACTAGTCCCACCAGCCCTCTGGGCGTGAGTGGTTTAGCGAACTTCCTCTTCCATCTTCCCTCTTCCACTTCGGGGAGGGGTTGATCCCTCCGCCTCCCCCCTCCCCCTGGGTCTGCAAGGGGGGGCGGGTCGCGGCCAGTTAGAGCGTCCAAGTTGGCCTCGGCAAGAAGGCGACAATCATGGATTTCGCCAAGGTTTGGGCCACACGATGGCCTCCTGGGGGGGCCCTAATACACGACGGCACCTCCGTTGATCGATCTCCTTCAAGATGGTCCCAAGATGGCCCCAGGCACTCCCGAAGGTGCCCCAAGGCGGCCCCAAGACGTGCCCAGTAGGCCCCAAGAGGCCCCCAAGAGGCTCCAAATATGCCCCCAAGAGGCTCCCAAGAGACTCCCAAAAGACCCTAAGAGGCCCCTCAGAGGCACCCAAGACGCCGCAAGTGGACGCCGGGACACCCAAGACGCCCAAGGAGGAATCCAAGAAACTCTCGAAAGACATCCGAAAAGACTCCGAGAGGCATCCAAGAGGCCTCTGGCCGTTTTGCTCGCCCTCCTCCTCCTCCCCCTCTTCTTCCTCATCCGATCATTCTCCTTCCTCCTCCTCCTCCCCATTGCCATACTACGTTCAAGGGGGAACTCATCAAAACGAATCCCCAGACCCCCCCCGGATATCACGGACAACCCATGCTGATTAATGACGACAAAACGACCTACCTGGACAACCCATTGGACAACCCAACGGGGATCCGGACAACCCCACCTGACACCCCCCTTTGGACAAACCCTCCGAGGATTCTGCTTCTATCTGATATGATACTGCTGCTTCTCCTTCTTCTTCTTCTGCTCCTCATCCAATTCCTTCTCCATTATCCCCTTCTTGGGGTACGTACGATGTCTTACCGAGCACTTGATTCCACTGCATGATCTTCCACATCCCTGATCAGGGCAACTCGTCTGGGTATCGTTTCTGGATGTGCTGGTGAGGTTACACGAAACCTCTAGAATTCGAAGACATCTTGATGAAGCCGAGGCACAAACGCGAGAGCGTTTGCACTCGAGAGCCGTGATCTCCCTCACCCCGCGTGTAGAACAGGTGCGTACTACGTCGAGGGAGAGGAGGAGGAAGAGGAGGAGGAGGAGCGGGAGGAGGAAGAGAGAGACAGATCCTGGGTGCGGCATGGAGTCCCCCTCGGCAAAGGCACAGCATACGTTGCCAGAGTCGTACACAGAGGAGAGAAGCCAGCGCCCCTCGTCCGAGTGGAAGCGGAGCACGGCGGTGCCGTTCCTGTGCTGGTAGAGGGGGCGGCTGTGACACACCCCTGCCAGCGTGTACTCTCCGTTGGCCGAGGCATTCTCACGGTTGGCCGCGCGCCCTACCAATGTAATTTTCGCCGGCGCAGAGAACGTCACCACATTTGCGTCCATCACCTCAGAGCGCGCGCAGAAGAGGTCACAAAGCGAACTCCACAGCGATGGGGTCGGGTGCGAAGCTCGATCTCCTCCGCTGCACGGTCCGATGTTTATGCGCGAGGCCCGTTTCATTGAACGCTTGTTTGTGGACTCGCTGGTCTTCGGTGCCTCGCTTCGCTGTTTGACCCTTGGAAAGCGGTCGACTCGCGAAGTGCCACGAGCCCGTGCAAAACACTATGTCAGATCTTAGACCTTATCGGTAACACATTGGCCGCCGCCGTGCTATTGCGCGGTTGGCTTGTGCCAGGAATCGAAATGTGCGTTTGCCCGTCCTGGCGAAACACAAAATCGGCACACCATCAGATCGCCCCCAACATGTGACAACGTTTTGCTCAAAGTCCCTCGATCGTGTTGGCTACGGGGAAAAAGTGAGTCAACGTGGACCCCAAGCTGCACTGCGGAGGTGGGAGCTATGAGGTCTCAGCTAAGGGGTGACAGTTATGTACTGTAATATAATGGTGTGAGCTATGGAGGTGAATGCCGTACGGTGGAAACTACTGGGTCTAAACTATGTCGTGCAAGCTAGGAGGTGTGAACTGGAGATGACACCCCACGGGTGTAAGGCATGTGCTGTGAGCTGTCTTGGTCCCCATATCCAAAGGGTGGGGGTCGTGTTATTACTGTGACCATGCGGACCTTCCGCTCACACTCCATCCTCCATTCTCCTCCTACCACTGATGACGCTCTCCCTGAGTATGATGACGACGGTGATGATGCAGATGATATGCTATGTTGCGCTGTGTTAGGTTATGATTACTATGTAATGTTATGATGTGATGATGTTCATGATGGGTGACGACGACGCCGATGACGATGAGGACGATGATGTCGATGATGATGATAATGCTGATGATGATGCTAATGCTGATGCTGATGATGATGATGGTGGTGGTGGTGATGATGGTGATGATGCTGATGATGATGATGATGATGATGATGATGATGATGATGATGATGATGATGCTGATAGTGGTAGTGGTGGTGATGATGGTGATGGCGGAGCAAATTCTGAGGATGTCTCGAGCCAGATGCGGGGTTCAGCACCCCTAAGGGGGGACCGCCAGGGGTGTATATCACTCCTCCGTTCGCGCCAAAATGGCGGGGTGTCTCGAACGGTTTGCCTGTTTGCATGCCCAGCATCCTCCGCTTTCGGAGCAGATTTGGAGGATGTCTCGAGCGATGCGCTCATTTTCGCTCCCAAGGGGGGGGGGGGGAAAGGGGGCAGAATTTGAGGATGTCTAGATCGGCTTGCCTGTTTGGTGGCCATCGTGGGCACACATTCTCCCCAGGATGCAACAGGTGGCTCTAGCAGGCTCCAGCAGGCTCCAGGAGGCCCCAGGAGGCCACAGAAGGTCCCAGGAGGCATCAGGAGACATCAGGAGACATCAGGAAGAGGCCACAGGATGTCCCAAGAGGCTGCAGGAGACCCTAGGAAACTTCCAGAGGCCTCAGGAGGCTCCAGGATGCTCCAGGTGGCCTTAGGAGGCCCCAGAAGGCAACAGGAGGCCCCGAGAGGCCCAAGGAGCAGGAGGCCTCAGAAGGCCACAGGAGTGGCTCCAATCCCACGTGTTGTACGTCTGTTCCTATACATTGGGCCTCACCTGGAGCACGAGTCCTTGATGTCATACGTATGTTTCTATAGAGTGTGCTTCGACTGTGTAGCCAATCCTAAATGTTTTACGTATGTTCCTATAGTTTGGGCTTCGCCCAGGGCACGAATCCTTGGCTATTTACGCGTGTTCATGTTGATTGCCCTTTCCCTCTGGCTCCAATCCGCAATGTTTTAGGTACGTCCTCGTGCGCAGAGACGCGTTCGTACTACTGAGACGCATTCACACTCCAATGCATTCGCAGTTAGGTTCACCCCCAGGCCGTCAATACTCAAGCCCGCTTCTATTCGATAACTCCTGCACCTAGACGCTCACGGCGGACAGGACCATGCGAATATATATATATATATATATATATATGCATACATGCACCTATGGGGAGCTCCACGCCATGAATCATTGAATGTCAGATCGATTGAGTCAGATGTAGGTTCCCCCCCTCTCCCCCCCCCACACACAACCTCCTTATCACCCGAAGGGTGGTCGTTTAGGTAATTGAATATGCGGCGAAAGCTATGTGGAGAACGCTTTGCCGCGTGAGCTCAGAGCACGGGGCGCCCACGAGGCGCCCGCGAGGCGCCCGCGAGGCGGAAACGCGGCGCAGCCTCGGGACACCCACTCAGCGCAGCGGGCGCCCCACGAGGCGCCCACGAGGCACCTCGGGCGGCCGCGTGGCGCAACCTCGGCATACCCCCCCTCCCAAGGGCGGGCGGGGCCCACGAGGCGCCCACGAGGCGGCACGGGCGACACCATGGCCGAAGCCCGGAATGGTCGACCAGTCACGGAACCAAGGAAACCAAGACCCCCGAATCGCACTGCTTGGGGAACACATCTAATCGTGTCAGTCCTTCCCACAGCTCGGCTGTGGATATCTGCGCGGGAGCGGAGCTGAAAGCTATCCAGTCTTTGGGACGGACGTTTAGGACCAGGTTACAATTTCAACTTGGCCTATTCCTGAAGAGAGCATTGGCACCCTCAGTGGCAGAGGGGCTCACATGGCCAGCGTCCCAAGAGCGCCAGGCCATCGTTGAAGCCGCCCTTTCGGATGGGCACCCAGGCGACCATGAAACAAAATGCAATTCTGATACATAACTTGCATCATGTAGGCACCGTTAGCACCAACCGCAGGATCCCCTAACACACATACTTACTCTGCGAACTAAGCCCCCCACGTGGACTTGAGAAGTAACATCCCAGACGTGCCAAATGAGGTCAGCACGTGCTGGATGTATCGACCCGACACTGTCGTTCGCCCAAGCCACGCAGACGTCAGACTCTCGGACACCTGCCCTGTCAATCACCCAACGGTGCATTGACCGCAAATACCGGATGGCTGTAGCCGAGCCCAACTTCTGGTAGACAGCGAACCCGTGGTGTTGACCCACATGGACATATTCCCCACAGATGTCGTGGTTCTCCTGGCCAGCTGACCTGGGGAAGGGGCGAAGTCAAGTCTTGAATTCGACACATCTCATCCTCCTCCGCACGGTTATGGTCTTGCTGGCAAATATTTCTCAACTTCTGCTTTTGATGCTGACTCAATGGACACCGTCTCCTCGCTTCTTCCTCTCTCTCTCACTCTCCTTCTCCCGTTCTTCTGCCAAAACCACTCTGGTTGACTTTTGCAAGCCGAAAGAAACCACCCTTGATCCCCAGGTGCATGTACTCTGGTAAGGGCACACCCTTCCTCGCAAGGTCTGCCCAAACTCCATCGGTTCCATCGTTTCAAATCCAATTTGCATTAGACGTGTTTCCCTTTGGAAACATAGGCGCAACTTGTTTTTCACGCGCGGGACATACGACGGCGATGGACAAACCTTCCTTTCATAAACCACACTTTAATGAAAACGGCCTAGGACCGAAACCGACGGACCTGGACCCGCAAAAATGACGGCCGCGACGCCCTCTCGCACACCGAAAACAGCCAATTCGCTGATCGACGTGTCAAGGTAGGAGGTCTATCAACCTCCGAATGCGCCACTGCGCCGCCGGCAAGAAGTGGATCGCCATCGAGACCTCAAAATACTGGGTGCTCCCCATACTCTTCCAAAGATCCGGACCCGCAGCTCCCGGGGCGCGGCGCTTGTATGCTGGGGCTCTCCGTGAAACTTTTTGAAGTGTGGGGCTGAAAAGCCCGAAGGCGGGTCAAGAAGGTCCCAAGATGTCCCCAGTACGGCCAAAGAGGGGGCCCCGAGACGGCGCGAAAGCGCTCCGGGGCGGTCCATTCTGGCTTGGGGACGGCCCATCAGCGACGTCGGCGCGGAGGAAGTCGGGCTCCACATCTCCACACGGAGCCGCATCGCTGACGGCGATGCGGCGCGATCCTTCAGCCCCATCTACTCCGACCCCATCAGGGAGGCATGGAATCGGCGGCGAGCGAGGGGGGGAAAGGAAACAGAGAAGGCCTTCTCAGAAGGCGGCGGGACTTCTCAGAAGCCCTCTCGCCTTTTCAAAAGTTGCTGTGTCTTCGGGGACAGCTTAGAACACTTCTCAGAAGGCCAACGGACTTCCGAGCCGTCTGAGAAGGTCCACCCCTTCGCACTTCCCCCACCAGGCTCGCAGCCGATAGAACTCTCTAGACGCGAATATACGCCGACGACGACGTGCACCGGCCGGCGGCGCCTTCCGACCACGTGCATGGACCGCGGGCAGCTCGCCGCGTCTCCCTCGCTGTCGCCTTGGATCCGGGGAGCGCCGGCTCGTCGCCGCCGCCGCTCGCCATCGGCACGGTCGTCGTCATTATCGATGTCGACGTTGTCGTCGGTCGTCGACGGTCTTCGGAAATTCCGATCGGAGGCTCTCGGAGGCATCCGGACGCCCTCGGACATTCCCAGCTGACTTCGACGATTACCCCAAAGATCCCAAGAATGTTCGGACATGTTAGATCCCTCCGCCTCCGCCGCCAACATCGCCGTCGCCGCTGGCGCCAGCGCCGCCGGCGCCGCCGCAATCGTCGCGGCCGCTGCCGTCGCCGCTCAACCGAACACGTCTTCATCGTCTCCCCTCGGACATCGGCCCCTGGCCTTGTCCAGACGCACGTTCCAACCAGGATCTCCGAGCGGCTCCAGCCGTGGCGATGAGGGCCCCCGCAGAGACCCGAGAAAGGACTGACACGTCCAAACCCCTACGGGCAGGATCCTCGATCCCAGTGACTCAAAGATGGGGTCCTGAGGGATGGGGTCCTGGGAACGAGGTGCCTCAGACAACGTACGTTCACCAATGGATCCCTTCCTATCCTCAGGCCCCCATGCCTCAGGACCCCATCTTTGAGCCACCCGCGATCGTCAACGGAGGAGTGAAGCGGGAGGGCGGTCCTGGCATGCTCGCAGAGCCGACGTCCTGCATGGCCCCAGATTCCGCGCGGCGGGAGGGCGGCAGACGCGGGCTGGCCCTCGGCAACCAAAAAACTGCCTGACGTCGTCGTCGTCGTCGTCGTCGTCGTCGTCGTCGTCGTCGTCGTCGTCGTCGTCGTCCTCGTCCTCGTCGCCGTCATGCAGGGTCGGCGGCACCGGCCGTAGGGTCCTTCCGATACAAAAAAACGGCCTGAACTGTGAACCGCAGAGAGCACAAGCTGCGGCGCCGGAGGTGCGAGCCGCCATCCGGCGAACCACTCTGGCCCCCAAGGGGCTGAGGCAAGGTGGGCCGACGATCGGGTCGGGCGAAACGGGGGGGATAGCAAGGCGGGGGTTTGAGAATCAGCTCGCGTAGCTGATTTTCCCGGCGCCTCCCGGCGCCGGGAGGCGCCCATGTATTGAGGAATGGGCCCAGCGGTGGGGCCGAAGCCAGCTGCATGCAGCAGATTTCGTAACCCCCCCTTTCCCTAGGCCCGACTCTGGCCCCCAAGGGCTGAGGAAAGGTGGGCCGACGAGGCAGAGATGAGAAGGGCGGCCTTGACAAAGTGCTGTACTTCTCGGGCGGCACCAGGTCTCGTAGTCCGAGCCCGTGGCAGGCAAAAGAGATGCTGTCGGGTGCCCCGGCCTGTCCATGGACCCAGGCAGCGCCACGACTTCGGGGCGGAGCTTGGCTGCCTCTTCCCGCGATCGATTCGTCTTGGAGGCAGACGCAGGATCGAACGCACTCATGCTGTTAGACGTCGTTTCATTGCTGGAAGGATTGACGGATTGAACGCACTCATGCAGATGTCCAAATCACAATCTAGCTCGACCATTGGCCCCGCAACAGCCCAATTCAATTGGGCGTTCATGTACGCGGGCACGGCACCGCGCTCAGAATTGCCTGGTCCACCGTTTCAACGGCCATCCAGACTACCATCAGACACCTGCCTAACCTGTCATGTCTCTCCACATGTATGAACTGCGACAAACAGATCACCAACTACTGAGCATGACTGCCATATCCCATCACTCTGGACAGGCCTAATCTATCCCAACACATTTCCCCAGAGCTAGTCTGGCCACCGTGAGCGCATCATCCCTCAGGGCAGCAGGTGGCTTCGAGCAGTTCTCTCCGATTCCAGGGAAAAGGTTGACTCCTCAACTCACTTCTTTCCTGGGGTCCCAACTTAGGACCCAAAGCAGGATCAAGGTCTCCGCGACTCCAATGCCAAAGACACCGATAAGAAACCAGCCTGACACATTTCGGTTTCGGAATATTGTGGCCTCCAACGCGCCCCCCCCCCGACAGGTCGATACTGTCGTGTACCCCCCTCTTGTTTCCAGGAGTTTCCTCCAGATTGCCCTTGAGGGAGCTCCAGGGAGACTCCCAGGATCATTCGCTGTGCCCTTGCACAAGCAAAATTGCCAATCAACGGTGGCGGTGAACATTCTCCTAATGACAAGCGTGACGCTCAACAGGCCACATTGCACGAAGTTAAGGCGTGGCAAAGACGTCACATTACACGGAGTTCATGAATGACCAAGTCATGCGTACGCGAAGCCAGCCTGCTACCTAGGATGCAGGTCTGGGGCTGCTTGCTCGAGTGACGACACTCAGACTGCGACTTATGAGACTACCCCTACGAGCAATGCATCACGACGTAGGTACCATGGACGCCCATAATCAAAAAATGATCTAACGGCAAATCCCGCATCCCTTGGCAATCGGAAGGCGCACGCAATGGCAGAACAAACAAACTCGCGCGCGCGCTCCGCACTGCGCTTTATCAATGCCTCCCCGCGGCAACTGTATCTCGAGAAACCGGCGCAGGCTCTTCTAGAAGAACGCTGAATGCTACTGCTAGCACAGGAGCGCGCTGGCGCTGCAGCCAGGCCTAAACTAGAAGACGCGTGCGAGTGTCCATGGCTCTGAGTGCTTACCATTCCTTCCCCCTGAAGGAAGAACTACTCAGACACTTAACAGCAACAAGTCCTGGACCTTTTAGCGACGAGATGGCAGTGCCCGCTGTTGCGGTCGATCTCCCATGGCACTCACGCGGCAGTGACGAGCGGGTAGAGGTTGCCGGCGCCAATTGAGCCCTGGTGGAGCGATTGCTTTCTGGGGCGATCACAAACTTCAGCCATACTGTGCCGTCGTACTTCAACTCTTTCAGCCCCCGCGGAATGCAATCGTCAAGACAAATGTCTGCCAGCGTGGACCCCAAACAATACATATTTGCACTGTGAAAGCGCATGTGTACGCTATGTGGGGTGAGCAAGGTAATAAACTATCTGGCATAAGCTATGTGGTGTAAGCTGTGCAAGCTATGCTGTGAACACTCTGTGATCCAGGCTCGGCGGTGTGGTGCAAGATTTGTGATGCAAACTGCGCGCTACGAAGCTACGTGTTGAAAAAATAGGTGGTGTCAGCTACGCAGGTGCAATATTGCAAGCTACGTGGTGTAAGGTGTGCAGTGACTGGTTTATCTTGTGGATGCCATGACAATGGACACTCTAACAATCCGATCCTTGAACAAAACATGTGTTTAAGATGTGTAAAACATGTTCTAAAACATGTTTCAAACATGTGCTCTGCATGATTAAAAATGTTTGACACGTTTTAGCACGCTTCTTCTCCATTAGTCGACTTCCGCAAATCTTGGCACACCCACCCAACACGGGACGCCCACGAGACAACCACGGCCGCCCCACCAACCAGGCACCGGGCGAACACTCGGCATACCCATCCGATTCCTTGGGGTGCATATTTGAGAACCCCGATGTGCAAGCACTGTTTGGGCCACGACAGGCGAGAGAGGATTTGAGCTCTCTACCGAGACTGACATTCTCGGTCGTCTCGCGGGGGAGCGGGCCGTGCAACCGCGCAAACCGGGAGGGCGCAAGCCAAAAAAAAAGGGAGCAGTATGGCAGAACAAATAGTGTACGGAACTGATGTGTGTCTGGCGGCATCCGTGCCGAACCTTCTCCATCCGAAGCACGTGCCACATCCAACCCTGAACTTCATGGATCACGGCATATGATACGCGTACTCAAGACTTGTATGGCGGACATATTCGTACAATTCTACATCATGCATGGGCTCCCCCGCCGGGTGGCCGTCACCGCCCCCTCATACCCTTTGGACGACTTCCCCTAGGCCCCCTATCGGAAAAGCTCCCGGACAGCCGAAAAAAGGCCCCCTCACACACAGACACACACACACACACACCAGCCCGAACTCAAGAGACTTCCAAGGCGCCCTAAAACATTTCCCACATTGTAATAGAGCGTCCCAAGAAGGCCCGAGACTGCTTCGAGACGACAACAAGAAGCCCCCATGACGGCCCAAGAGCCCCCCCCCCGAACAAAAACCAAGAGAAAACATCACATTCCATCTGGAACACGTGCACTGTTGGCGGACGTTGCTTCGGGCTTCACAGCGTCTCCGACGACCCAAGAGGCCCCCAAGAGAGTCCAAAGACAATGCAAAACGCCCCCCACCAAAAGTCAAGAGGGCCCCAAGACGGACCAAGGGGGCCCCAAAACGGCCTGAAATATCCCCAAGACGGCCCAAGACAGGCCCCTGAAACCCCGAAAGGGTCCCAAAGGAACCCCAACAGGGCCATAGGAGGCCTCCTACATGGCCAAGTCGGGCCACAGAGGGCCCACAAACTGCCCCCCCCCCCATGACGGCCCAAGAAAGCCAAGACGGCCCAAGTGGGCCCCCAGCTGGCCCAAAGAGCATCCCCCCCCCAAAACAAGGGTCAAAAAGCAGCCAGAGATCCCCAAACTGCTTCGACAATGCCTCCTGGAGGTTTCCCAATAGGCTCCCAGAAACACATGGCAGGTCTCACGCCTACGTCCTGCAAGGCGTAACATTATCAGAACAATCTCCCCTCGACACGCGATCCATTCAAGGCGTCCACGAGGCCCCGCAGACACACGCCGCGAAACCCTGACGGGCACCCAAAGTGCCCCGAACTCGCGATCCGTGTCAGGGATGTGCGGCATGGCGGCATGACGGCACTTGCGGCAAGACCACGACCTCCCTCGCAGTCGTGTCCACGCCCCCAACATCATTGGGCGCCTGTCGCATTGTCCCCCGAAGCATTTCGCGTGCTCGCTTCGGCCAGCTGTAGGCCAGTCGTCACCGTGAGCGCCAAGGCCGCCCGAAGCCCTCTCCAGCGTGAGACCTCCCCAAAAGGCGTCCACGTCGACGGCGAACCTGCTGTGCACGCCACGGCAGACCAAGCCCGCGACCCTCATGAAAGACAACAAATACAGCGATGGCGTCCAGCCGCAGGCCAGAACGCCAGGCCTCTCTGAAGGCTTTCGTTGTTGGGCACCCGTGACATCTGACGGACACCCAGACTCCAGAGCTATTCAGTAGGCTCGCGCCGATGCCTGCGAAAACCAACCATTCATGGCGCGCCCGTTCGCGCACCCGCCCCCCGTTGCCCCCTCGACGGTCGGGTTCGTAAGCACTCTCTTGGCGAGGACCTTCACGCCTTTGGTGTCCACCGGCGCCGCCCCCTCATAGCGAGCGCTGGCCCTTCCTCATCGGCCGTCGCCTTCATCTATGGTGGGACTGGTTTTTCGAAACCGCGACCTTGACCCACCTGGCGGTCATCGGACCATTTTCTTTGCTGCCCACGCCCCATCGGCGACCGCCGCCCCGGCGACGGCCCCTCGAGATTTCCGGTGTCCGAGCGTCGCCTCCGGCCCCAAGGCCCTCGAACGGCGACTCTGGATGGCAAGCCGACCCCTGCAGCTCGAAAGCGGAATGAAAGTCGGATCTCTGGGGGGGGGCGAAAAGACGGGGGCCAGCGACCCGACATACGCGAATAGTCGAGGGTGAGCACATGTTGCTCATTCGTGTAACCCTCACGCCGTTTGCCTGGCCAGCCGTTTCTTCAACATCCTGCGCACATCTACTCCGCCGCAACCTCGACCAACCTCGCGGTCATGGGGTTCGCCTTCCAAGCGGCATGTACATGGGACCCCTCGCTGCCTCTGTCAAGAAACATCTCAAAGTTACCACCCTCGCCCCCTTCTGGTCACCTCCATGACCCCCCCTTCTCCGCATTGCCGACCGCACTTTCCTAGCCATGATGTAAGCCCCCTACCGCGGCCATACCTTGAACCTGCGTGAAGATCGTGCCTGGGACCCCTCTCGCATCATGACCTCAACCCACCTCGCGGTATCCTCATCGGCGTGTTCCCGGTCACCGGCTTCGTGGCCACTGCCCACGGCCCAGTTCCATAACCTGCACCTTGCTCGCGGTCATGACGTCCGCCCCCATCGACGTCATAGCCGTCGCCGCCGTCGCCCCACGTGCGGAAATGGCTTCTCCTGGCATCGAAATCCTCACCTTCGTCCCCGTGGCAACCGTGTCCTGCTCCTCATGGCGTGAACTAATGTGTTGGTTGCAACCAGCCAGTGGCACGCACTACCCTCCTGGTCATGACGTTGCCGCACCGATGAAACCTTCGGCTGTCCCCCAGCAGTATCTGGACAGAGGACCATGGATCGAAACAAAGCGAAGCGAATTCTCACAACTGGTATGTAATATTTACAAACGCACCCACATACATACATATATACATACATACATACATGCATGCATACATACAAACAGGTCTGCATTTATACAAACTCATAAACAAGCAATCGTGCATCTATATAGGTAATGCATGCCTGCATGGATGCATACATCTAGCAAACCATACACATATACATGCATACGTACATACTTGCATACATGCATACCTACACAAACATGCATACACCTACATATACATAAACATACAACTATATATCCATACACACAAACATACATGCATACACACAGACATGCATACGAATTCACACATATATGTGTGTACGCCTGCATCTGTGCACATACTGGAACAACGCGCGCTTCGCGCGCGCTTTGGTTCTAGCACGCTCCAATTGTAATCCAGCGCGTTCGGCATTGGAAGACACATATCGTCACACATAACGTGCCCCTCAAGAAACTTCACCTGCGGCCCCAGAGACAGGCTTGGCGTAGCGTTCCCCCGCCCGTGTTGGCACACTCCTCGCAGTGATCACGCCCCACAGGAACCTCCACATACGTCCCCTGAGACAAGCTCGCAGAATGGCACGACCCTCGGGCGGATCGCGCCCCCCAATTGAATGAATGTATGGCACCAGGGAGAAGCTTCACAGCGTCGCCCAGCTCACTTCGGCATACCTCTCACACGGATCGTGGTCCGCAAACAAATCCACGGACGGCCCCAGAGACAAGGATCTCATCTGATCCCCTGTCTATTTCGGCACACCTCTCGCACGGATCGTGGCACAGAGGGATCTCCACCTTCGGCCCCAAAGGCAGGGTTCGCACTGCGCCCCCCCCCCAGTCATTGAAACATGATCCCATCACTCGAATCTTGCCCACAAGGAGCACCACCGAAAAGCCCAGAGACAAGGTTCGTACAGCGCCCCCCGCCCATGTCGGCACACCCGCCATGCGAATGATGCCAACGATGCCCTGGAAGGAGCTCAACCTATGGCAACAATAGGCAACTTCGCATGGCGTCCTCCTGACCATTTCGAAGCATGCCTCGCACGGCCAGTGCCCGGATGGCGTCCACCTTTGGCCTCAGTGGGCGTGTTCGCGCGGGGGCATCCAAATTATTCGGCGCACCCATCGAGCAGATCGCGCCCCACAAGGAATTCAGCGCACCCGTGCACGCGCGTTCCGAAGCACAGTGCCCCGCGGCGCGCAGTGTGAGCAAAAAGACCTGCGCTCTGCGCTGCATATGACTGCGTAAAGATGGGTCCGTCGCCAATAAAATGCTTGATTATTGGACGAAACAATTTTGGCCTCATGTCTCTCGCGGCGCATCTTTAGGACGTCTTCGAGGCATCTTGAACCGTCTTATTCGCCCTGTCAAGCCACTCTGGTCGCTTTTTTTGACAGCATCTGAAGCTGTCTGAGCGGCGGAGGGGAGGCATGGGAGGCTCCGGACAGGGTCAAAAATGTCGTGGGCCAGGACGGGGGGGAAATTCGTTCGGGAGGGTGTCCGGGCTCGGTTTTGGTCCTCCTTCTCTTTCC